CACACTTCAGAACATTTCGGCTCGCCCTGTGTGTTGTTTGAACGAGTCTCTCTTTCTCTCTCTGTAGCGTATGCACCCAGATGCATTCTCAGGTACCGGAATTTGGCACAGATTGATTTAACGTGAATCGGTACTCGGTAGTACCGACGCAATTCGGTCGGTACCCAACCCTAATTAGCGTCACTCATACCTCATTATTGTGCAGCGTGAGACACAGTTTACACTCATAGGAGCCCAAGTGGTTTTTCATGAAGTATGGGTCTTTGTTGATGTCTATGGTCTCTAAGGCCAGCTGGCGCAGTCGCTCACGCCGGTCTCGGTTGCTTTCGGACGACGAGGCGACGCCACCGCTGCCCGTTTTCCCTCCAGCTCTGTGCTGGAAATCCATGATGACAGATCTCACTCCTCACACTGCTGCTCCTGGAATCACAGAAGAGGAAAACACGTCTAAACATGGCAGAAAATCATCTTAACATCGAAGAGTTTGATTGTGTGAACTTTCAGAGCTCAAAACGTCCCGCCAGCAAAATCTACTGAAATTAGGGAACCAAAATAGTTAAAGATGTGAAGGGAGCCAACAATAAAAGAGCTTGATCATTTTAAAACAGGCCTAATTTTATATTTACACTGCTGGTCAAACGTTTGGGATCAGTAAGATTTTTAATGTCTCTTCTGTTCATCAAGGCTGCATTTATTGATTAGAAATACAGTAAAAATAGTGAAATATTATTATAATTTATTACAGCTGTTTTCTATGTGAATATCTGTTAAACTGTAATTTATTTCTGTGATCAAAGCTGTATTTTCAGCATCATTACTCCAGTCTTCAGTGTCACATGATCTTCAGAAATCAGTCTAATATACTGATTTATGATGTGGTATATGTGATACTTTTTTTCAGGATTCTTTGATGAATAAAAAGTTAAAAAGAACAGCATTTATTCGAAATAGAAATCTTTTGTAACAATGTACAATACCGTTAAAAAGTTTGGGGTCAGTACATTTTTTTTAAAAATGAAATTATTGCTTTTATTCAGTTAAATTGATTTTAAAAAGTGCCAATAAAGACTTATATTGTTAGAAAATATTTATATTTTAAATAAACGCTGTTTTTTTTAAATGTATTCATCAAATAATCTTGAAAAAAAGTATCAGAGGGTCCAAAAACAAATATTAAGCAGCAAAACTGTAATAAATCAGCATATTATACTGATTTCTGAAGATCATGTGACACTGAAGACTGCAGTAATGATGCTGAAAATACAGCTGCGCATCACAGAAATAAATGACAGTTTAACAGATATTCACAT